CATTTCCTAACACTCTGGGCACCCACCTGGAGCCTGCGCCTAGGGACCCCAACTGGCATTTTTCACCTGGGGAGCCCTGACGTGGGGTGGTCCAGCACCTGCTTCCAAAGGCCTCCTGTGGCTGTTTGCTTCTTCTGGCAGAGCTAGCCTTGCTCCCTGCTCCAGCACTGGGCACGCCAGGGGCTGGCCCACCACGCCTCGCTGGGGGCCCATGGGAGGTGCCAGGTGTCCTCAGCCAGGTGACCCCGGCATGGCACTTGGCCCCCTCAGATGCACTCATGCTGCCTCCTTCCCCATGGGCAGGACTGCACTGACCTAGGAAGGTGTTTGCTAGGCTCGCAGAGTGCAGGCAAACACTCGGCCTGACTCGGGATTTGAGGCCGTGGGAGCAGGCCCGGAGGCCTGGTGTCTGATGATCCACACACTGGATGTGCGATAGAGGCCTGAAAACCCACTCTCTGGGGCTGCCTTTCCTGCCTCCAAGGACGACAGTGTTCCCAGCCGCCTGCGGGCTGAGAGTCACCCCCGCTGGGAAGCGCTGGCTGGGAGGTCAGTTGGCAGTGGCAATGGCCCCTGGGGCACCGCGCCTGGGGAGGGCTCCCACACTCCCAGGGAACGTCCAGGCAACCCCCACACGGCTGTTCCTTCACGTTTGCTCTGCTGGAGAGAGCTCGCAAGCCTAGGCCTGTCTACACCACGCTCGTCTACTGCCGGCAGAACACCTTGGGCGCCCACCTGGAGCCCGGACCTAGGGGCCCCAATTGGCATTTTTCGCCCAGGGAGCCCTAACGTGGAGCGGGCCAGTATCTGCTTCCAAAGGCCTCCCGTGGCTGTTTGCTTCTTCTGCCAGAGCTAGCTTTGCTCCCCACTCCGGCATTGGGCATGTCAGGGGCTGGCCCGCCACCACTCGCTGGGGACACATGGGAGGTGCCAGGTGGCTAGGCCAGATGACCCCAGCATGGCACCCGGCCCCCTCAGATGCACTCCCACAGCCTCATTCCCCATGGGCAGGACCTCACTGACCTAGGGATGTGTTTGCAAGGCTTGCAGACTGCAGGCAGACACCCAGGCCTGACTCAGGAATTGAGGCCCTGGAGCAGGCCCGTAGGTCTGGCGTCTGAGGAGCGTGACAGAGGCCTGAAAACCACCTCTCTGGGGCTGCCTTTCCTGCCTCCCAGGAAGATAGCATCCCCAGCTGCCTGCGGTCTGAGAGTCACCCCTGGCTAGGAAGCCCTGACTGGGAGGTCATTTTGCAGTGGCATTGGCCCCTGGGGCCCCGCGCCCAGGGAGGGCTCCCACACTCCCAGCCAACCTCCACACAGCTGTTTTGTCACGTTTGCTCTGCAGGAGAGAGCTCTCGAGCCTAGGCTGATCTGCACTGTGCTCAGCTTCTGCAGGCAGAACCCCCTGGGCGCCTGCCTGGACCTGGGGCGCAAACTGGCTTTTTTTTGCCAGGGGAGCCCTAATGCAGGGTGGCCCAGCAACTGCTTGCAAAGGCCTTCCATGGCTGTTTGCTTCCTTCTGCCAGAGCTAGCTTTGCTACCTGCTTCGGTTTTTCGCAAGCTAGGTGCCGGGCCACCACCCTTCGCCGGGGTCCCGTTGGAGGTGCCAGGTGCCCTCGGCCGTGTGACCCCAGCATGGCACCTGGCCCCCTCAGACACACTCCCGCAGGCTTCTTCCCCATGGGCAGTACTGCGTTGACCTAGAAATGCGTTTGCAAGGCTGGGAATGTGCAGGGTGACACACAGCCCTTACTTGGGAATTGAGGCCCTCGGAGCAGGCTTGGAGGTCCGACCTCTGAGGAGCCAAACCCCTGAAAACACATTCTGTCGCCTGCCTTTCCTTCCTCCAAGACATAGCTTTCCCAGCCTCTTGCGTGCTGAGAGTCACGGAGGGCTGGAACGCGCTTGCTTTAATGTCATTATTCAGTGGCAATAGCCCCTGAGGCCCTGTGCCTAGGTCGGGCTCCCACACTCACAGGGGAATCAAAGTGACATCCAAGTGAGTCAGCTCTTCGCATCAAGTGGCCAAAGTATTGGAGTTTCAGGTTCATATTAGTCCTTCCAATGTATATTCAGTTCCTGATTTCCTTTAGGATGGAGTGGTTGGGTCTCCTTGTAGTCTAAGCGACCTTCGAGCGTGTTCTCCAACACCACAGTTCAAAAGCATAAAATCTTTGGTGGTCAGCTTTCTTTATAGTCCAACTTTTACATCCATACATGACACATGGATAAACCATAGCCTTGACTAGACAGATCTTTGTTGGCACAGTAACGTCTCTGCTTTTTAATATGCTGTCTAGTTTGGTCATCACTTTCTTTCCAAGTCGTAAGCATCTTTTCAGAGAAGGCAATGCCGACCCACTCCACTACTCTTGCCAGGAAAACCCCATGGATGGAGGAGCCTGGTAGGCTGCAGTCCATGGGGTCGCTAAGAGTCAGACCAAACTGAGCGACTTCACTTTCACTTTTCACTATCATGCACTGGAGAAGGAAATGGCAGCCCACTCCAGTGTTCTTGCCTGGAGAATCCCAGGGACGGCAGAGCCTGGTGGGCTGCCGTCTATGGGGTTGCACAGACTCAGACACGACTGAAGTGACTTAGCAGCAGCAGTAGCAAGCATCTTTTAATTTCATGGCTGCAGTCACCATCTGCAGTGATTTCTGAGCCCCCCAAAATAAAGTTTGCTGCTGTTTCCACTCTTTTCCCATCTATTTGCCATGAAGTGATGAGGCCATATGCAATGATCTTAGTTTTCTGAATGTTGAGCTTTAAGGTAGCTTTTACACTCTTCTCTTTCACTTTCATCAAGAGGCTCTTTAGTTCTTCTTCCCTTTCTACCATAAGGGTGGTGTCATCTGTATATCTGAGGTTATTGATATTTCTCTTGGCAATCTTGATTCCAGCTTGGGCTTCATCCAGCCCAGTGTTTCTCACGATGTACTCTGCATATAAGTTAAATAAGCAGGGTGACAATATATAGCCTTGACATATTCCTTTTCCTATTTGGAACCAGTCTGTTGTTCCATGTCCTGCGACCTCATGGACCACAGGGTGCCAGGCTTCCCTGCCCATCACCAACTCCCAGGGCTTGCTCAAACTCATGTCCATTGAGTCAGTGATGCCATCCAACCATCTTATCCTCTGTTGTCCCCTTCTCCTCTGCCTTCAATCAAGACTATTGTAGACAGATATATATATATGTGTGTGTGTGTGTGTATATTCCCAGTTATTTTTATTAGTTGGAGGCTAATTACTTTACAATATTGTAGTGGTTTCTGCCATATATTGACATGAATCAGCCATGGATTTACATGTATTCCCCATCCCTATCCCCCCTCCTACCTCCCTCCCTATCCCATCCCTCTGGGTCTTCCCAGTGCGACTATTATAGACAGATATTTTAAAGTATAATTATTTTTAATAGTTTATCTAAAAGCTCATATTGCATTTACATTTTTTAGGAGTTTTTTTTGTTTGTTTTTAGAGGTATTTCCTTTGTTGACAAGCTTGTGACAGATATAACAACATAGCAATATTTAGCTTATAATAAACCTGGGCACTATGAAAATTTTATGCTTAATGTTAATGACCCTTAGACATGTCTATATTAGAGTTGTGGAAAAAAATACTAGATATTTAATATTGACTATTTCCCAGCTCACATGAATCTAAAAATTACTCAGGTCAATTTTCTCTTGTAGTTAGAACTGTTTGATTTGTAAGGGCTTCCTTTTCTTTAGATTATTTAAATAAGAACTCACAACTTCAGCAATATTATAAAAAAAAAACAGAAGACTCACACTGAGACGTACATAAATCCACACAGACAGACAGAGATCTTCTAGTTTTCCGCCTCAGATTTAAAATAGCTCTTTGACCTCTTTTTTTTGGGGCGGGGGGCTTCTCATTTGCCCAAGGCTGAGGTCTCAGGCAAAGTGGGCAGTGTTTTTCAAGGAAAGGGTTAACTTCAAGCTTTGCCCTAGGCAGGCCTTTTTAACAAGCTAATTGTTTTTAATTGCATATGCAAAAGAACCAGCTTTACAGTTTCCAAGAAAAATTTTTTTTTAATTTTAACCAGTTTTCTCTGGTTCTATAGAATATCATGGCCATACTCGGTCAGGTCATCTTTCCTTTCTGTAGTCATAGTTTTATCCCTGAATTATAGACAGATCAGCTGACAAGGTTTCCATAGTTGAAGCTGCGGAAGGATCTTTAACGTGGTCCGCTCAGAGAGCTGCAAAGTGGTCTCACCTCGCCCCGCCCAACTCTTGAGCCTCTCCTCCACCCGTGCAGCGCGGGATGGGAAGGAAGGGAGGGAAGGACGTCTGGAAGGCGGCGCGCCCCGGGCGGGCGGTCGGGTCCCTTGGCCTTTCCAGAGGTAGGGGATGAGGAGCAGCGCGAGAAGGTGTGGGGAGGCGTGCAGAGTGGGGGTCGGGTGGGAAAGACGGCTCTCCTCCGCCTTCCCGCCCGCGCCACCGGCCCGTCCGCGCCTCCATCCCCGGCCGGGCGCCCCGCCACCCTTGCCCCGCGGCGTCGTCTCTGGTGTCCCTCTTCCGTCCGACCTCCCCGCCACGTTCCCTCGAGGTTGGGTCCGAGGGTTGGGGTTGGGGAGGGGAGGTGCTCAGCGCGCCCCCACCCTACCCCACGCGCCTTTGCCCGTGGCGCCAGCCACGACTGCCTTCCCCCCGGCCACCGACCGCACAGCGCGGATCCTCAGGTCGCGTCTGGAGGGCTGTGCGGCCTGACGGGTGGCGGCTCCCCGCCGCGGGGCCGCGTGCCTGTCCGTCGCCTCCCGCCGCTGGCCCTGGACCTGTCTGCCTCGGCCGGTCGTCGGTCGTCCGCTGCGCTGGGCCTGCCGCGCGGTCGCCAGGCGCCTCCCCACGCCCTCCGAGCCTCGGGGCTTGCTCCCAAACCCCCTACCCACGCCTCCCGCAGCTGTCTTGTCCGGTTCTCTCGCCCTCTCACCTCTGTCGTGTCCCCTGCCCGCTTGGCGCCACACTTCCCGTCGGAGCCTCTTCCCTCTGCCCTTGGTGGTGGGGGGAGAAGGGTGCCTGGGACCCGGGCGCGGGTAGGGGGTCCCGGTGGTTGAGGGGAGTGGAGAGGGTCCCCGGGGGGGGGGGGATGCCGTAGGGGTGTGCGAGGTGGTGGGGGAGGGCTCTGCCCCGTTACAGGGGGATGTGGGGATGGTCGTCTGGCGTCGGCGGGGACCTCCGGGCGGCGGTCGACCGGCGCACGGTGGGGCCCCCATGCGTCACAGGCCGGCAGCACCGAAGCCTGTGGGCGGCCGCGGGCGGGGACGCTGTGGTGGTCGAAGTCTGGTCGGTGGCCCCTGGGGCGCGCCGTGCTCCTCGCCCGCCTCCCCTTTTCCAGGTACCTAGTATGGGGCTTCCCTGGTGGCTCAGATGGTAAAGTGTCTGCCTGCAATGCGGGAGACCCGGGTTCGATCCCTGGGTTGGGAAGTTCCCTTGGAGAAGGAAATGGCAACCCACTCCAGTACTCTTGCCTGGAAAATTCCATGTACGGAGGAGCCTGGTAGGCTACAGTCCACGGGGTCACGAAGAATCGGACACGACTGAGCGACTTCACTTCACAGCTGATAAAAAAAGCTTTGTTGTCTCGGTGGGGTGGATTTGATCCTGGATGGATTTCACCTGGCAGCAGTAGCGAGGCCCGCGGGCCTCTCCTGGGAGGCGTATGGGCGGAGCACACCTGGCCCGCATTGGGAGCGGAGCGCACCTCCTCCGAGTTCTTAGGCAGTGGGTGCCAGGTCTCAGGGGTCTCCATTGCACCAGGGAACACCCATTTCGTCGGCTCCTGGGTCCCCATCCATCGGCATCCAGTGAGCGGAGCGGAGGGGTGCGGGCCACAGGTAAGGGAACTGGGGCTCGGTGGCGCAGGGTGGAGCAGGGAACCACGTATTTAGCTCTCTCTGTTGGCACAGTCTCTGAGCCCCCTAGCCTGGCGGTCGCAGAAAGGCCTCGCCACTGGGGTCAAGGCCTTTACCACTTAACCCGTTCGCATAAAGTTCAGATCCGCGCGGTTTTTCCAAGCAGCCTAATTCCTGCAGCGAGGTCCCCAGGAAGTCCAAGGGATTTATCCTGCACGGTGGTTTCACCTGCTGGGACTCCACAACCCTTAGTCTGGCCGCCTGGCCCAGACCTGCTTCCGGCACTTTGCAGGCCTGCGGGCCCTTGACCCCCTGCTGGGATGGGAACGGGAAGGGTCCGCGAATTGCACCCTAGAAACTTAGCAGGGTGCACGGATTTAAAAACCTGGTGGCCACCCAGGCAGGAGAGAAGGGAGGAGGGCACCTTGCTGCCCTTTCCTGGGGGAGTCTGTGGCTGCCCTGCTGACAGGGGGCCTTTCCATGGGGACCCTGTGCAATAAGGGTGGTGTTTTGGAACTGAATAATTAGAACGTGTAAAAATTTTAAATTATGTGGTGATTTAATTAAAAAAGCTCCAAAGTGTTTGCAAATTGAGGTCTAAAAATTGAAGGCCTATTTTCCTTCCAGTGTGGCATTCTATGAAGAAATTTGCTTTTTTTTTTTTTTTTAAAGAAAAGAGTCGGAAAAGTGAGGGAGACAGAAAACCCAGAGGTGCCCCTGTGGTTTTGCGAAGGCCTTAGGAGGTCACCTGTAAATGCTGCTGGCCGTCGAGCGGCAGTCTCTTGTGACTGGCCGATGGGCACAGAGCTCTGCAGGCTTGTCCTTTGCATGGATGTTGTTTGTGGAAATCCAGCTCGGAGCCATCTCCTGATGTGTAAGAATTTCCCAGACTAGACCCCTAGGCAAATCCCGCAGGGCCAGGGACTCCTCCTTTCATTATATTTGTCTGTTTGACTGAAAAGCTGCAATGACATATTTTTCTTTGAATCTGGTCTATCATCCAGGCTTTGGAGTAGTATTTCCCTCCCCCTCAATAGGCTTCAGTTCCAGGGATGAATTATAGTTAGTTGTCCATGATTTTACAGATGAGGAAACTGAGAGCCAGAGAGGGTGGAGGACTGTCCAAGGGAGAATGGGATATCCTTCCAGGAGCCCTGGCTCCTGGGTTTTTAATGAGCTTCCTACCCAGTGTGGTCATTAATTGGCAAGTGTTGACATTGAGAATAAACTATTGGGGGAAATGTAAAAGGCTTTTTAAAAGAATGTGCCTACCAGCTGTGCATCTTATGAAGTATTTTCATTATACTCCCCAACCCTTGGAAAGTGCTGGGCACAGGGCAGATGCTTCACCATTTTTATTGAATAAGTTCAATTTCACACAGTTATATCCATAATGTCAGCAACACTATGAGGTATATTAGAACAGTGATCATCACAGTTGGTATTTCACAGATCAGTAAAGAAAGAAAGCTTTTTCTTAGGAAGACTGTAAAAGAATTGCTAAGTAATAAGTTTATCCCACAAGGATATTTTCAAAAACTGAAACAGATCTCTCCGATCATCACTAAGGCTATTGGAGGTCTGTTGAGGACCCCACGCAAGGGAGGTTCTACCTCTTGGGACACCCCTGCTTCAGCATCTCCCTAAGCCAGCAACCTGGGACAGCTGAGTACACTTGAAGTTCCTTCCTTGACCTCGGGAGTTTTTTTGGAAGACAGTTTTTTGACAGACAGGGGTGGGGGAAGGTTTTGGGATGTTTCAAGTGCCGTCCATTTATTGTGCACTCTATTTCTGTTTCTGATCCTTGGTGGCTCCGTTGGTAAAGAGTCTGCCTGCAATGTGGGAGACCCGGGTACAATCCCTGGGTCTGGAAGATCTCCTGGAGAAGGAAATGACAGCCCACTCCAGTATTCTTGCCTGAAGAATTCAATGAACTGAGGAGTGTTGTGGGCTACAGTCAGTAGGGTCACAAAGGGTTGGACACAGTTGAGTGACCAAACACTTATTTCTGTTATTATTTCATCAGCTCCACCTCAGATCATCAGGCATTAGATCGTAGAGGCTGGCCCCTGCTTTAGTTCCCTCTTTCATCTTCTACGCAGCTCCAGCCTGCTTTCTCCTCCTCTTCCACTTGCAGAAGTACCTGCTGGGCTTCTCTGAATGTGACTAAGAATCTCCTTCCCTCACTTCCTTTTCTCTGAGTCCCTTCCTCTAACTGGGTTTCCCTGTTCTCCATTTAGACACTTTTGCCCCAGGTGGTGCTAGTGGTAAAGAACCTACCTGCCAATGCAGGAATTTGATCCCTGGATTGGGAAGATCCCCTGGAGGAGGGCATGGCAACCCACTGCAGTATTCTTGCCTGGAAAATTCCCGTGGACAGAGGAGCCTGATGGGCTCTGACAGTCAGATGTGACTGAAGCGACTTAGCGCAGCATACCAGAGGACCTTTGAGCTGCAGACTCATGTGATTGTTTTGGCTCTTTGGAGTCCCTTGTCATTCCACGTGTATGTTAGGGTCAGCTTGTGTATTGCTTCCTAAAAGCCTCCAGAGGGTAACAGGCAGGAAAGCCAGGGGTCTCTGGACAGAGAAAATAGGCTGCAAGTGTCAGACTTTTTTTTAATCTTTCCCTCAAGAGGCAGGAGGAAACAAGCTAGTGTTACATATTTTCCCCTTCTCGATACAAATTTAAAAGGAGCTTTCTCTTAAAATTGTGTGTTGCCATGACGACTTCTGGCTCCACCTGAATTTAACTTTTCTCAAACCTTGAGCTAAACAATGCATTTTTCTTATGGAAATGTTTGTCTTAAGCTATGTTAATGTCTATGTATTTACCCCAGATTCTGTCTTCAAGTCGGTTCCTCCTAAAGGCTCAGAACCAACTTGACAAACCAGTATGTTTTACTCAAACCTTGTTCTCCTAATCTATGTTAATGAAACTATATATTTGCTTGGAAATCTGCCTTTTTTCAAGATTCATGTCAGTCATTTTATGGCCTGGGATGACTCACCTGCCACCAGTGTTATCTCAATGCATGTTTTGGGTGAGAGGCCTAGTGCCATTCTGAGACATTGCCTTTCTTTGATTAGCAGACTGCTAGTGGCTGTATAACATCAGGCTGAAGACTAGCAGGGGGTAGTCTATGTCAGCAGCTTTCTCTATCTCTTTTATACTCTAATAAAACTTTATGACACAAAAGCTCTGATCGATCAAGCTTCGTCACTGGCCCTGGATTGAATTCTTCTCCTCTGGAGGCCAAGAATCCTGTGGTTTAGCATCAACCTTTCAGCCTTTTGTAATTCACATTGAATCTTCATTTCAGATTGCAGATGCATTCCATGGTATTGCCATCTCAAGTCTTTCCATCGCTATGGAATATGTGTGCATGTATTTAGGACATTTTCCAGCCATCGTGTATAATTTTGGTGTGCCAGTCTTGTCATCCTCATTACATCCATGGCAAAGTATTTTATTAATGCTGACAATATTGAAAGGGAATTGTTTTTTTTAAATTCCTTTTCAGGCTGTTATTTGCTAGTGTATACAGATAAAACTGTGTAATCATTTTTATCAGTTTGGACAGCTTGATAGTTATGTTTACTTTCTTATAATTTAAGATTACCCTGGCTTATGTATTTACTGTCTCACCCCTAGTCTCAGTCATTTCTTCAAAGAACTTGTGTCCTTTTTTTTTCACACTGAATTATCTTTGACTATGCTGGGTCTTTGTTGCTGGATGTCTGGTTGTAGTAGCAGAGGCTGCCCTCTAGCTGCCGTGCCATGGCCTCTCATTGCAGCGCTTTCTCTGCTTGCAGAACTTGGGCTCTGGAGCATGCAAGCCTCAATCGTTGTACAGGGGCTTAGTTGCCCCCGGGCATGTGGAATCTTCTAGGACCAAGGATTGAACCCGTGTTCCTTGCACTGGTAGGTAGATTCTTTACCACTGGGCCACCAGGGACATTTCCTGTTCTCTTTTATTAGAGAATGATATTTAAAACATACATGTAGGAGCTAAATATGCTCAGCTGACAATACATGGAAATATTTACATGTATTCCAGCTTACCTTTGAACATATTCAGTTAAAGGTAATTTGTGATGATGTCTCCATAGATACTGTAACCTTTCCTTTTCTTTATCTGTAACTTCCCATTCCAGTGGTAAGATACCTGGCTTCCACCACTTGTCATGTATAGAATTCAGTGCTTGTCCCATGTGGTTACTGAAAAAACTGTCAGAGTGTCTTCCAAAGGGGGCTGTGCATGCATTCCACCAGTATCTTGAGTATGTTTTTGTATGATAGTTTACGCTCAGTATACCCTCCATGGCCAGGTGTCTATTTCAGTCCTTACCAGTTATGAAT